GTGGGTGAACAAATTTCTCACATTTCCCTTTCCCACTTTTGTTCATTCAAGTGTGTGGTACCACTCCTGAACATTAAAGCATGTGTACACAGTGTTGATACATTCAAGTTGTTTTAAAATGACTATTTGGATATCAATCTAGCATTGGTTGATCAAATAACATAACATATCAGACCAGTTTCGGCTTGAATTCGTTTTGAGGCGAATAATATACATCAATGCTGTATTGAGAATATCAAATGGTCATATATGTTTGTGAACAGTCAGAAATGGCTCATTAATTTTCATGAAAAACAAACCAATGCGGTTACAAAAACTAAACAAACTCTGCATCTTTCGCTTCTTGCATATTATGTAATGGCTCACCTGCATAATGTAATGTACACAATACCTATACAAGTAATACATCTGTCAGTTAGTTGCACGTATCCACCTCGCAGCTATGTTAAAATGTCTATTACCACCATTCTATTTAGTGAGTACTGTCACAGGTAATGTTTAGACTAGTTCTGGCTTTCTACTGTATTGTAGGCTTGGCTTGCTTATGCTCTTGCTTCTCATCTCGTCTGCTTGCATAAAAATTAATGTGTCTCATTGCTGTTTTCGTAAAGAGGAATATAAAATATGTGCTTTCATAAGGTCCTCTCCAAGTCTCCGTCTGTTTTATTTACTGATGATGATCGTAACCCCACACACTTTAATATTTATAAAGTAATTTGTTTACAGTGTCGTTTTAAAGGGCAAGAAATGCAAAATCATCACCAAATTGGACAATATTGTATTTGATAAATAAATTTTCAGAAAAAGTCTTTCATGTACAATTCTAACCCCCACTCCATATCACCAGAAAAACCACTATTTCACTTTGTCACATAAGCCAAATCTTGCCACATTCATCTTCCTATTTCTAATTTTACATGAAAGGCTTAAAACTGACACTAAAAACCATATTTGTTCTATTAGAAGTGTCTATGCTTGCATAAAAGACAGAAGCCAGTTTATGGTATAGTAAGTTATATTTTGGTAATCCAGTTTACAAGAGTTGCAAATTTTGGTTCACATGCGCTTCTAATAGAGCATATACGGTTGTCATTGTGAAAACTCCAAAAACTATATGACTTACCGCACATTGGTGGTTTTATTTGTACCAATGATGCCAATATATATTTTTATACAAAAAAACTGCGCTTATTTTCATCACTAGTAATTTTATTCATTGCAGTAATCATCCAGTGATATGTGGATTGGGGTTTAAGGATTATTAACTGCAATGCAATGCCATTTATAATGTTTGCATGAAGCATTTACAACACTGGGAATATCGCTGCACATGCTTACCTTGCTCCCATAATCTGTTGCTTGCAATTCCTCTTAAGGTGCTTGCCATCTCTTTCTTTATTTATTTTTTTATTTAGCTTCTGTGATTACAGTGAATGTTGGTAATGAAGCTGTACAAATTACTAGCAGTAACTAATGCCAGAGCTTCTAACTCAAAAATACCATCTTTTCCCTCTTTTTGTTCCTATACCAACACCATCACCACCACTACTACCAACCACCACCACTGTGGCTTCACAACCCCCCCATCCGCAGACAGCGAGGAAATAAAAGAAGTCAAAAAGTCTGAAGACACGAAGGAGAAGCTGAAAGATGATATCAAGCAAAATGAAGTGATCACACCGAGGAAGAAATCGGAGACGTTAGACGATGGTGTGAATGTGGGGAAGCGCAACAACAAGAACAAAAAAGAATCACTCAGCTTGGAGCGAAGGTCCAGTATTGTAAATAACCAAGAAAAAGAATCACTTGACTCAAAACAAAAAAGTAGTTTATGTGTAGTACTCTGATATATGTTTACTGTATATATTATAAATATATATATATATATGTTTGGTATTTGATGTTCATTTTTAAAGTCACCTTGTTGATTGGTCTAACCAGTGGTGCTGTTAATAAGAACACTGTGCATGCTCTGTTGCTAATTGCATTAAAAAAACAAAACAATCAAATTATATTTGCTGCAGTTGATTTTCTGTGGAGTACAAGATCGAGCACATAACCTATGCACTTTTAATTTTTAATGTCAATTTTGATTTGATCCAGACATTTGGTTTGGTTTATATTGATTGCGGCATACAGATCTTCGAAGAATATGTTTCATACATAAAGGAACTATAATGTGCAGGAAATTGCTGTCTACGTGGAACCTTATTTTTATTGATATTGCCATTTTCTTAAAATATTTCTTTTAACAATGACATTAAATGCATGCGTCTTATTCAGTTAAGTCATGTACATTTGCTAAGATCAATTGCAAAATGTGGTGAATACTGTATTTTTAATTTTTAGCAAATTTCAGAGTGATGATTATTTGAGAAAGATTTATATAATTTTATACTGAAAGTGTGATTAGGTTATCAGGCCTCGGTACCTATTGCTTGTTCTATTACACACATTTTAAGTAAATATTAGCAAGTGTTGCTCATTATTCTGCGGAGCTGGTTATTTTACTCCTGTTGTTATTGCGGCTGTTAAAGTTTAATTAACTGTATGTGAATTTTTACAGTTTATAAGTTTTTCATTGTTCTAAATTTACACTGCAAAAAATTGTACATTTTATAAATATATTCCAAATATATTAATTATTGTGGCAGAAAATACTTTTTGTTCGTTTCCCCAAAGATTGTTTTTGTTATAATGGTAAAACTATATGAAATTTTTACACCCTTCATTGCAGGGGTGCCTTTTACCTAAAAGATTTTGCTATTAATGCCTGCCATGCTCTACCTTGGTAGGTCAGGTGAATATTTCAATATCAATACCCTTGATAAATATACAAAAAAGTTTAAATAGTATTACTTTGTGATATTAAAACAATTTCCAACAATCCACTGACATTTTGTCGCAGGAGATTATTGCATTCATTTACCTGCACAAATTAATATGTATATTATTTGTTATGAGCACTTTCGACATTTTTTTTATTATCTTTTCCTAAAATGGGCTGGCAGAACAGATCACACAAGAGCATTTAGAAATGTACGCACTCAGTGTTGCGAATTTAGAAACAGTTCCCTAGGTGTAAGCATAAAGAATTACACAAGTAAACAAGGAGGTTTTTAAAGCCAACAAGAAGGTAATAATTGTTCACAAAAATTAAAAAGTTTGGATTATAAGCGTACTTGACTCTCATTCAATCGTAGGTCAGGAAGCGTCAATCCGGATATGTAGAGAAGCTTTGGATTTAAAAAAAAAATTGCAATTCACTTACAACAAGAATTGCTTTATTGTTGGCTGTAAAAGTGGTTTATCTCCAGTAGAGATGCAGTTCATAGTATCAAATGCATTATACATTTTAGTGCTTCCCTACTTTTAGTACCTTGTCCGTCCATGTATCATTACATCTTTATTGAATCATGATCACAATTGTTACATAAGCCAGGTATTCAGTTAAGTTTCCCTTAGAGGCTGACTTTTCAAGTAATTACACAGGGTACTTCAATTTAATATGCCAGGCTGAACAAGGCTATTCATCTACATTAATGTACGTCAAAATCTTTCAGACAAAATAGGCTGGCATTGTAAGCATTTTCAGACAAAATAAGCGAGCATTGTAAGCGGCTGTGAAATTGGTGTGAGATTGAAAAATCAAAATTTATTTTCATATTTCCTCTGGCTATATGTGTGGGTGGGCTACTAGCATCAAATTCATAATATTCTTAATTTTGGATTAAATGGAAATGATTATAATTAATTGTCCATTGATCAGTTCCTAATTATTGAAGATTCTCAACTAAGATTGAAAAAAATATTTATTTTATGAACAGCTACACTATTTAGGCTTACAAAGGGTTAAGTTTGATCAATACAGTTTGAAGAGTTTTCACATTTATCGCCCATGCATTAGTATAGGGAAAACTATTTCAACTGCCTTATATTTACAAAAAATATAGTTTCTAACGCATTGTGTTATCCCAGGTTTCAAAATTGTGGAAACGTATTTTCTAATTGAAAGGGTGGTGTTTTAATTTATATGTGGTAACTCCATTATCAGCATAACGGTTAAAACATGTTTATAATCTGAAAGATTTGGTTTGTTATCTCAGTTTATGGCCCGCATATGACCTTGTCTAGCAATAAGCAATCTATTCGCAAAGTATCGGCAATTTCCAAAGATTTTTACGAAACTCTATTGATCAACCTAAAGGGGGGTTGACACTTATACAATTTTATCAACTTTCTCAGGAAACATTGCTACACTCATTGATAACAGTTTCATTGCTTGTTCTTTCAAAGAAATGTGTCAATAACAAAACTATTTATACTTGTAATTCGCTATGCTATATTGGCCAGTTCCAAATAAAAATAATAACCGCAAAAAATTACTAGTACTGAAACATACCATTACCTCCTGCATTCATTCCAGTCCCAACACAAGCTAGATGCAAGCTAAAATCAAAGTAGAATCTCCTTGAATTTCTGCTGATTATTCAATGCCTTTCAATTTTTTTCAGTATTTCTCTAATTATAACATACTATTTAAACCCCGATTAGAAAACACTGAAGGGAGGTGATGTTTATTTTGAAGAATACACTATAAATAAGGTTTATTTTCATTTTAATAATTCATGACATTTTCTGAAATGAAACCATAGAAAAAAAGAAACACAAATGAACTTATTGATCATTTTACTATTAAATATTAAAACCATACCTCAAAAAGTGAAATTAAAGACAAGGAACTTAATACTTTGATAACTCTGAATGTGGAATGCATGTTACATTTCTAAAACGGCCTTCGCATTCTTATGTTTTTATGCAAGCCCATAAGTAGAAATATGATTCACTGGAACCAGCTGACAGGTGTTTGGTATTGTACTCTCAAATTAGCTTTATATAATGTAACTACTTAAGTCTAATCACATTGAAAACCCTGGATTCTTGACTATATTTGATGCACTCTGCTTTGGTCACAGTACATTTTTTTTAAGTTACATGATATTGTAAATATTTTTTTTTATTTTCCAGAGCTCTATTTATTTTTATTTGTAATTTTATCAACACATTCCATGGGTCTCTTGGAAAATATTTATTATACCACATTCCTTCTATCCCCGAAGGTTTGTAATTGTAATTATGATCATATAGGTCTATATCACTATTAAAACAAAACTATTCAAAACACGTCTGGTTCTATGTTGTCTTTGCGTCCAAGCCTTTGTTGGCGTACATGTACTTGAGTGTGAGGCTTGCTTCAGATTTCCATTCAAGCCACACATTGTGGCTAGCGCATGCAGAACTGTCAGATGGACCAGATGTTCTTTACAGAAACATTGTATTGCCTATTATGTATCTTGATGGCTTTCATTTCACGGTACAGTGTATAGGTATGGAGAGAGAGAGCTGTATGTTCTACTCTAATGATAATCAAAAATTGACACAATGTAATAGTTTGTTTATGGAATCTACAGCTAACTTCAGTTTTGAACTCAAGGAAAATACCTTGAGATTTTTCACATGACAATCACTGCACAGTGATATCATGCTGTATTTATGAATTTTGACGAGCAGCAAATTTCGGCAGAAAAATTGGTTACATCATACATAGTTTCACAATCCATATAAATGTATGCTGTGGCACAAATACAGAGAATTTACTTCTTTTGGAACTATAAGCGAGGCTACACAAGGACAATAACTGATTTTTTGTAAAATTCATATAGTGAAGGTCAAAGAATGTTTCCCACAAACATTCACCAACAAATTTAAGAGAACACCACTTTTCTCACAAACTGCTAGAATAGTAAATTACTAAAGTTTGGGGTTTATTTCACCATCTTTTCTGCACAATGACATTTACATTACAATTTGAATGTCTAATGGATCACAAATAATTAATAATGATCAACCTGAAGCCTTTGGGTGCCTTCGTTGTTCACAATATCGTGTGTGCCCTCAGGAAGTATTGATCTTTATAATATATGGCGCCCTCTGGAGACAGTTACAGAAACATGTCTTCAAAGTAATCTGCAAACTCTTCCTCTCTGGAAGACGGATAAATGTGAAATATGTTACTATAGCAGCACATCTCAAAACAGACAGCTTTCTAATCATGCAGTTATCCATGCTTTGATGCACCATGCTGCAGTCTTACACAGTTTCTGCCAGTCATAGCGCAACATAAATTTATACATGTAGTAGTAATAGCAACAATACAGTCTACAATACTAGAAAATACCATTTTTAGGCCACTCGTATACATTTATGCAATTTCTTTACCCTTTAAAAGTTTTAAACATTTTTTGCGAATTATTTTTTGGCCTAAATTTTAGACGGAACAGACATATTCCAATATTAATTTTATCATTTGATGAAAAAGTTTGACTATGTCACCAATTTGTGCAAAAGAACAGTAGCCAAATGGGTTATTTTGTAAATAGTGCCATGCGTTGACACTCCATGTGTTCATTTTTTGAATCCTCGATCAGTATTGTGCAGTGACAACAGTGAGTACCTAGCGATATAAAACATACCTTGATTTCTCTTCTGTAAATTTGACTGGACCTCCCCAGGCTTCTTTTTCAGAAACATCAGTAGTATCTAAAAATACAAAACTGGATTATATTATCTAAATGATAATTCTCTGAAAGTACATATAATTAGTTGGTATACAAACAATATAAATTTCTTGTCAAAAATGACTACCGGGGGTAATACCGATATAAGCATTTTTTTTTAATAAATGCATTATGCGAGTTATTACTGTTACAAACATTAATTTACGTCACACTTTACCCTTGGATGTGCTTGGATGACTACTGGCTTCAGAATCACTGCCACTCTCAGAATCACTTGATTCCTTTTTTCTCCTTTTCTTCTTTTTATGGCTTTTATGTTTGTGTTTTCTTTTATGAGAAGTCTTTTCTTTTATTTTCTTCACCTGTTTTGTTACATCTTTTCTTCTGTGATGATAGTTCAGCTTGTATGAACAATCTGGACAAAGTCCTGGTGAAAATTTTCAAAATGTATACAATGCAAGTTGTAGTCCATGGGGCCAAGGTAGATAAGTCATTGTCTATTGGACATAGTCTATTGAAGCCAACACTGTTAATTAAGGAAGACAAGTCATTGTCCATGGGGCTGACACCTAAGAGAACAAGTCCAAATATCAGTAGAACCATAACCATTATAACCTTAATTTGTATTCCTGAGCCTTATCTACATGTAGGTATCAAAACAAGATATACTGTATTTACAAGTTACTGAGTTTTACAACTTACTGAGTTTTACAACTTACTGAGTTTTACAACTTACTGAGTTTTACAACTTACTGAGTTTTACAACTTACTGAGTTTTACAACTTACTGAGTTTTACAAGGGCATTTTTCTTTTCTCCATGTTCAATATATCCAAAGTTAACTTCCCATGTCCTCAGTCCCTCTTCCTCTGTGCATTTTTTATTACCACAACTGAACTGACCTTTACCGTCCACCACTTCTTTCTCAACTCTCCATCTCAGAGCTACCTAGTAGATTTAAAAAATTATGAAATCAGTTACTATTATTATTAAACCTTTGGGCACCAAAGTCGACTTCAGGCACCATCCACAAAATTTCAAATTTTTTCGATCAAAAACAAGAAGCAATGTCATGTTTTGTCATTCGGGTCCGAAATTATTATTGAATACTGTGAAAATTATCCTCAACAAATCTAAGAGAGGTTTACCTGAGGTACCTATATGTATAGTATCAAAGCAATCATCACTTTTTACCAAAAATGACAAAATTCAACAAGATTAGAGAATTAAAGATACCATGAAATGAACAAATCTAAGAGAGGTCCTCCTTGAGATACCTATAAGTATAATATCAAAGCAATCAGAATTGCGGTTTTCAACAAGAAGTCGAAAATATCACTTTTTACCAAAAAATGCAAAAATATTCAACAAAATTACAAAATGAAAATGAAATGAACAATTCTAGGTGAGGTCTACCCAAAGTACATATACACAAGTATCAAAGCAATCAGGGTTGTAGTTTTCAAAAAGAAGTTGAAAAAGTAAAAAGTTGGCGCAGACGATGACGAACAATCACTCATATGATAAGCTCCACTCAACAAAGTTAATAGCGGTGCTAAAAATGTGAACAAATTTACCTGAATTTAAGCGGAAAAAATTTGGTGCTCAAAGAGTTAAGGTAGAAGTCTACTCACAAATTAAAATACCTAGAATTTTAGGATTGTACTCCTGGCCAAAATAAAGATATTGAATTTGGGGTCACCAGCCTCAAAAAAAACATTGGCCATTTTTCAGTATTAGAACATTTGTTCCTTATGGTGGATATATTATGCCAGACCTCAAACTATTGGAACGTTGCACAGGAAGAAAAAAAGATACATCATGGTTGAAGGCGTTCTTTTCTTTTAACAATCTGGATTTTAAATAATGACATTTTGTTTTAAAGGGTGGTGGTCATCGCGCTGTACATGTGCGAAATTTGTGTTAATAAACATTGATTTACCCACAATCCAATGCGCTCTTCTAATGGAAATCACAAGTATGACCTGGGCGCCACTTGCACTAATTACCTAATTAAGGTAGCAGAATAGTTTTTTTTTTCTCATTTTTTTGTGAAAATCACAAGCATAGCTCCATAAGGCATGCCACATACATTAGTGTATTTACTTTATTGAAAAAATAATATCTTGTACAAGTAAACTGGTTTTTTTCTTGTGTGCAAACAAATGGCCAAGTTTTTGTTTATCCAGTGTACACCCCACCAGTACTTCTCATTAATATTCATGCCTAACAAACATAACTGAACTGAGGCTAAGCTATTTACAAACAACTGATAAGATATCTGTTTGTAGTTTACACACAGCTGATAAGATATGTGCACTGCTTTGTTTCAAGAGAAGGAAGCTGTTGAATAAACAAAAAGGTACATGAGTATATCACTCCAACGTATTGCCGGATTCTGCCGTAAATTCGCTTGGGCCGTTTAACGGTAGTTTGGGTTTTTTTAATTTTTTTAAATATTTTGGAAAGTCTAGAGGAATTTACGTTCTAAATGGTTATTTTAAATCTGCAACAATCAATCTGCGTGAAATGATACACCATTGTGCGGGAACTCGGTTGTAGATTTTTTTTATATGTATCTTTTTATGACCAGATCATGGGAAAAGGCCTTGTTCATGTGGACGGCGCAATTGTTACAATCTCCTCGGCGTATATTTACACTCTAAGGAGCAAGCAAAGACGCTCATTTCCAAAATAATAATTTAATTAACAATGCCAATAAAAATAAAATAATCCCACATGTACATTGAATTTTAAAAATGGCAATACGTTTACAGTCGTACATTTCATTTGGTCATCTACAATGTTCGTCGGTATCATTCACAAATACTTGAAGGGCGTCTGTAATTTCTTCACCTTCAAATTCTGGGTCACTGTCTTCGTCCAAAAAAATCAAATTCGTCATTTAGCTTCCCCAGCTAACACCTCTTGAAGTTTGCTGTTCAGTGACTCCACCATTAGCGGCTTGGTATTCACAGCAGTTTTTCGTTTCCTTAGCGGCGGCACTTACAAAGGCCCGGTAAAGGATGTTTCCCAAGAAGGCGGACGACGCATTCATTACGGAAGTGGAAAATATAAACAGACCAGAAAAGTTCGACTGAAGTGGCCAGTTCGCGGCAACAAAAAGTCACCTCGTAATGTCTCAGTTTGTACTAGTTGATCTGCGCAACAGCCATCTGTGTTTATACGAGACCCATTTTGCGCATGTGTGGCGCGACGACTACCGCCCTTTAACATAGAGTTTTATGGAATCATTCAACAAATAGATATGTTTGAATAATACCGGGTATTTGGAAAATTTACTACTACATGTACTATGAAACAATAGTTCAGTTCCATGCATGTACATAATAACCCATGTAATTTATGATCAACTTTATTTTAAATAATATGAACTGCTTACTGTAAATAACACCCCCCCCCCTTGATACCAAATGACCAATCACCTTACTTTATTTTCTTTGTATCTACTAAGATCTGATATTGTGTATTCTTTGAATAATTTATCCCAGTATTTTTTGGATAGCTGTTGTGCCCAACTGTCAGCAGCTTCGTCTGACCACAGGAATCTATGGTTGTCTCTGATTACATCCAAGTCTGTCTTATCATTCACACTGTAATTGCAACATATAATAAATTCTTGTTAGAATACCAAGAAAAAAATATGTATGGAGATACGCTGAGAGTATTAATTTCTCCTGCATTGCCAATTACCATGGGTGGGGATTAGAGTATCTGGAGATTAGAGTATCTGGACATCATCAAACACGAAACTCAATCTGATTAAAATATGACGTAGCTAGAGACACCCGATCACTTTTAATATACGAACAGCTGGTTTATTGCCGCTGATGTACAAAGCTCAAATAAGATGAGACTCTTATATAGAAGGAAGATATTGCACTGGAATGTTGGATAAATTAACTACCCTGTAATTAATTTAAAAGAAAATATATATTGTCACAATAGGGTCATTGGCATTTATTGCATGGACTTCTAGTTGTTTTGAAAGTGATGCTGACAAAACAGGAGAAATTGGGCAAATACAACAAGAAATTATGAGAAACCATGTGTGTAATTACATTATGGTAGCACAAGCTATTGAAATTCAGGACAAATAGTTCATGTAAAATTTAGTGATACAATTTTCAATTTAATACAACCTCTGTAAGGATCACATACAGATTTACAGTAGTAGGAAATAATTTACAGTTTGCAATTAAATAAAAAGTGGAATTAGTCATGAAATACCCATGAATTAATCATTCAACATGTAAAGATCTAATAAAAACATCAACATGTACATAAAACAAGAGAACAGCTTAACTTGCCATAGAGGGCGCACATAATGACACACTTAGATATAGATTTATGAGCAATTGTATACAGGAATTGTTTATAATACTTACGTAGATCTCTTGAAATCTGCTTTTGAACCACCATAATAAAGCATATAATCGTTAACAAACTTTTTATGACGAGAGTACTGCAGACATGAATATAAGTTAAGAATTTCAAAACTTATGGCGGTACCGAATTTGATTTATTTAAAAGCACATGTGCCTATGGTCAAAATAAATCATGTTACAGTAAATCTACTACAATACATGCAATTTTTTATTTATGTGCACTTCTATTGGAAATGCCTTCTAATAGAGCAAATGCAGATAAAACAAAATAAAACTGGTGTCTCAGTGTTCAATGATACATTACAGTAAAAAGGGAAAACTCAAATTGAAATAATACACACACAAAAAAAAAAAATGTATGCAAAAAGCACTTACCGGTAATGAGTGATTTGACATGGCACCCACAGCCCCTAATCACTTTAGCCACATAATCTAGCATGGCTTACATTCGGCCACTCCACCCACCCACCCCCACAAAAGGATGCGTATTAACAGAACTTTTCCCATGCATGCAACCCAACATGACCAAATGAATACACAGAGTATACTGATAGTGGCTCAGACCCTCCGAACCTGCCAGTCTGATTCACACATGTAGTGATTTATATAGCATTTATTTTTTGATATATTAATTTCTGGTTTATTTTGAATGATATCAGCAACGGTTTCAATTTCCCCCTTACTCAGTCATTATCATTGATATACAATGTATCTGCTGCTGGACATTTGCCATGGTCCATTGTATTACTAGAAACCTGATACATTGTACTCATATTATATGTTGACATCAATACTAATGTGGATAAGGATACAGCATCTAGTCCTAGTATGTGGAATCTTTGATTTCTTCCTTCTTCTCTGAAATTTTGAGAAAAACAAACCAGAATTAGGTTTATGTTTTCACAGATTCATTGATATACAATTTATAGATACAGTATAAGATTTTAATTGTGTAGCTTAGTTGACATGCGACAGCAGCTTCACAAAAGGCGCTATACATTCATTCACTAAGTCGACAATTGATTTAACAATGCTTACCTGTCGTATTCATGTGCTACTTCACGTTTTGATGGAAGTCCTGTACATCGTTTGTGTTGTTTCGATGCTAGATCATGTCTATTTCTGAAACAAGATGAATGTGATCTGTAGTTACAAGTTTATATAGCAGTCCACACTAAAACTATTGCATAAGGTTGAAAACAGCAATGTGCCCTCCAAGCCGATACGATATTCAACTGACACACAACGATACGCTGTGAGACAACTGGTTGTGCTCATTCAATGCTGCATCATTGACTCATAGAGCCATACTCTGATATATAGCAATCTTAAAAAAAAACATCTCATCAATTTTGTTTGTGCCTCAAGTTATCTTACTCCAGCTGCAGAATGATTTACTAATTAAAATTTTAACCAATGAACACGCCACACCCAATTTCAGAGCACAGACGAATCGTATAGCAAATGTTCTGAAGTCAATATTTTTCGGTAGTGATGCAAAGAAAACACACAGCAGCTAGGGTACAGTTACCAAAAGTCACATCCAATTTTTTTTGTTCTTGAAGATCAATCTTTCACCGCATTTACATAAGAATTACATCTCCAAGCGGGGTACATGTGTGCCCAAAATTGTTCTAGTGAGATTTTAAGGTTTCAGTACGTCATTATTTATGAGTCACGTGTGCTTCTAATAAACCGGGGTAACAAACACTGCATTCAGTACATCACTGACCCACTTTTCTGTTTATTGCCAGAGAATTTTCAAGAAAAAACCGAAACAATTTGGAGATATAAAACTCTTCAAATAGTTTGACGATGTTACTGTTCCTGAAATACGACTATCAATAATGTACAAATAATATATACAGTAATGCAATGAATATCATACATTGAGAAACAATAATATTTTTCTGATATGTAGCAAGCTTCAATTAACTTACAACTGTGATAATAATAGCAATAAAGATTAGTTGTGATAACTACTGCTATAATTTCAGGAATGTTAATATAGCATATTGAGTGTCAATCTGAGTGTGCTCAGAGTAAATCTGAAAGCCACTATGAGTTTCAACTTGAGTGGGGGATTTTGTTCACAGAGACAAAAAAAACAAAAAACATGCGGTGATAAGATGGGCAAGAAATGAAAATGCCATCTGATATGTAACACTTGCTTTACCAATTAGCATTTTTTTTTCCTTTTATAGTAGTAGTTATCACAACTAATCTTTATTGCTATTAACTGATAGAAACATTGTATTTCTAAGGATGTAATAAAGTTATTATTATTATTATTACATTATTATTACATTCATGTGTGTGTCTCTCTCTCAAGAACTGATTTGATTGACAACACACTGATATATACTAGTATTTATATACTACTGGTAGGAGTGTCTTTGATAATCTGTAGTACTCACGTTTTCTTCTTGTCTTCTTCACTATCAAACTCAAATTCTGAACTTAAATCACCTCCGAGGAAAGCCTGTAATGAGACAATCGACCCAAGTGGAAAATAAAGTTGAAGGACAGTGCTCTGCCTAGAGAGTTCAACAATGGACTTTGAATATTTTAAATTCAAAATCATCATCATCACACATTTTCTTGGCGTGCAGTGATACCAAGTAAATGTTCAATTCAGGCAGAAGACGTTAATAAACTGCATGATTAATCCCTTGTCAGAATTTCACATCTGTTCAATTTCCCGGAGAGTGGTAAGGTATGAATTATTCATTTATCCTAATGTGCCCTGTCTCGAAGTAATTCTGACTGTTGTGAGATCGACAA